CCTTGGCCCTTGACGACGGCGCAACCAACCTTGGCCGCTGTCGTCCTCTTCCAGTTTCCATCTCCATTCCTTCCGTCTCCGTCACCGGCTCCGACCAGAGACCACCATATCCAACGCGACTACCGTGACATATCGGTCTCATTGTCCTGCTCGACAGCAGTCTCCTCAATCGGCCTGGCCGAATATATATCGAGAGGATAATGTACCATGGGAGGAAGCAGAAATCCAGTACAAAGCCTCTTCCTCCTGACGACTGCTCCTCCTAGACGGTGACGTCGTCATAGGGTGTTGTATGTCAATGCCAATGCCAACTGCTTTGCCGCTGCCCCTCTACATGTCGACCTCTCCTTTTCCCTCATCATTAGTTTCTCTTGCACTTTTGGTGTCTTGAGGTCGCCAGCGCTTTTTCTTTTCTTTTCAGTTTCCCTCTTCTCCGGTGAACCCTCTCAACTGACCGACTCTGTACAGCAAGCGTGTCGGAGCCCCTCCTGGGATCTGTCTACTCGAGGCACCACCACAGTGCAAACTCTGAAACCGATCGAACCGGCCAGCACTTCTGCCACGATCTCTTGCGATGGCGACAGCTCAGTTCTCCCCAAACGAGATGCGGCGGCAACAAGTGAGCCAGACAGGGTCCCCGCGGCCCAAGAATCGTGAGTCTGCTCCCAGAGAGACAAAGACACAGGCAAGACATACACAGAGCCGCATGCTCATGCAGTCCGGAGAAGCATATACAGCGTACAAGGACACGCCGTGCAGGAACATCCTGATATACGGCCACTGCAGGTACAAAGACCAGGGGTGTGCCTTTAGTCATGATCAAGGCGGTAAGGGGAACAGTCCGCCCACCTCCAACCAGGAACAACAGCAGCCACTACAGTAAGTGAAATTTGCGTGCTTTTATTTTGCTCTTCCTCCGTTGTATGAATATGTGGGTGTCTTTACTGGCCACGGAGCACCTAATCATCCCTTCCTGGTTCATGGACAACGCCTCATCAGCCCACGGGACCTTCTGGCAGGACATGGGGCTTATAAAACCACGCTGAGTGTCGTCGGGGCTTTTCTGGAGATCTTGGACCGGACTTCAGGTGATCCGCTGCGAATGGCTTTGATATTGAGAACCCGGGCGGCCATGGGATTGGTCAGACTTGGAGAGAAGACTTCGTGTGTCGGGTGCAATTCACCGATTGTGACGGCCCTTGGCAGTCGGCATCACAGCAGACAGACACGTGCCTTGTCCCAGCTCTACATGATGGATCAAAGAGACTGTTGAGCAGTACCCTGGCACGAGTCGAGGTATCATTAGATCCATGATCCCGTGGACAATTCCAGAACACAGGCTCGAACAGTCTAGCTGGAAGTGACGGCCACGTCCCATACCACCTCATTACATGGCAGTCCATATGTCAACATTTGACAAAGCTGGATTGTCAAGGGTGAAACACGATTTTCGAAAGTCGGTCACAGTTCAACATGACCCTGAGTGTTCCCGGCCCTTATACGTACTCTAGAGACACAACGCACGGTGGGCGAGAGCTTGGCTCTACAGTCTTCTCCGGTCATTAAAGAGGATGTACATGAGCCTGCAGTCCCAGTACTCCAAGATAGCGCATGCGGGACAGAAGAGGTAGCACAAGGCCTCCGACCCGTGGCAAATCCAGCATTACCAGGTGCGGGACCAGGAACTACCACTCGGGATCGTACAGCTGCTGCTTTTGTTCCGGCGGCACACGGAGCCCCTACACAAGCTTCATCAACCTTTGTCGCCAGCGGTCGCCCTCCCGGCTCCAACCATCTTCCTCCTCTGGTCTAAACTACGCTGTGCATCTTTCCAGCTTCAGTCTTCCTCCTCCGAGCAACAACCTTGTTAGTATGCACCACCTTCTGCAACATCAAGGCTACTATTTCTCTAGCGCGCCGACTCAGGCCAGTTGGTCACAATCGCACAGCATTTGGGCCCTTATATGGCAGTTACTGCAGGTTGACCCTCACATCGCATTGTGGCGCCGGCGGTACGAGATCAGACTCAACTTCGAGGATACCGATGAATGGCCCAGAGAAGGATTTCCTCGAGCTCCTTCCTCAGGCCTCTAGGCCTGGGATAGCTATTTTTCATGGTTATGCGTTTTTAGGCGGGCGTTCTTAGCGTTTCTAATCATATGTTTGGTATTCAGATCTGGCAAAAAGACTCTCAACGTGGAGTCTCCGTCATTCACACCGTCCACCTTGCAGTCGAACAAGAAATCGACCTTTTCCACACAGGCAGCGAGCGCCGCTCCCTTCACTCCTCGCGGCCCGGGTGGAAATAACGCGTCCCAGACTTCGCAGCAGAATATGGACGCTCCTATATTCAATCCTGGCAACATCAGAGAGTTTCAACCCCAGAACTATGATTTGGCCAGCACGGTATGTATTGGCTCACATGTACCTGATGTGTGATAGAATAGGTCTGATGCCACGTGGCCGCGTCTAGGGTTCTCCCAATGCGCCAGCACATGATGCTGGATATTCACTCGATCACTTCAACATGGCTCCTTTGACACAGGCCCTGGCGCCCCCCGTGCCCTTCAACCCCTATGCGGTTAATGACCACAGCGGTATCCCGAATCAGGGAGCAACGTACTTCCAATCTCAGTTTCCTTCGGCTCTAGCGCCGCCACAGTATCATCTCTACGCTCCTATCGGGCCATATCGTGAAGATCTCATGCCATACCAGCGTGTCACCCACGACTTCTTCATGTCAGAACGACTCCGCGATGACCTGCAGAAGAAGTCGCATGCAACTCTCCAAACGATGCCCAGTATGTCATATTCCTCTCCCTTCTTGCCTATTTGCCTCGCCGCTGACAAGTCTCTAGATTCTCCCTTGCCTCAGCTGGAAAAGTACCACTCGCTATTCCCTCTTGACATTAGCAATCGAAAGAACACAGCCGTTTTCGGTTATACTAGCTGGGTATACAAAGCAATTTCCAGCAAGGATGGCAAGTATTACTGCTTGCGCCGGTTGGAGGGTTTTCGTCTGACCAATGAGCACGCCATCCACGCTGCTCGGGAGTGGAAGAAGGTTCTCAATGCCAACGTGGTCACATTCCACGAGGCGTTCACGACGAGGGTGTTTGGTGACAGCTCTCTGATCTTCTGCCACGATTACCATCCACTAGCGTCGACATTGTTCGAGCACCATTTCTCCCCTCAGCAAGGCGGCCGTGGAAGAGGGCCAACTGTCGTGCCAGAAAATATACTCTGGAGCTACATCTGTCAGATCTCCAATGCACTTCGAGCGATCCACCATGCAAAGCTGGCAGCTCGTTGCCTGGATATGACCAAGATCATCATCACGGACAAGAATCGCATCAGGTTGGCTGCAACATCGATTTTGGATGTTGTACAGTTCGAGAGCAGCCAGCAGCGCCCTCTGACGGACATACAGCAAGACGACCTCATCCAATTCGGCAAACTGATCCTCTCTCTCGCCACACTGACACAACCCCACAACCTGAGCAACATCCCGCAGCTGCTCGATACACTGTCCATGAAGTACTCGGTTGGGCTTAGAGATGCGGTGTCCTGGCTCATTTCCCCGCCCAGACCAAGCGAGAAGGCCAAACACATCGACGCCTTCCTTGCCAATATCTCGCAGCACCTCGTCAATTTCGCGGACGTGGCACTGCGGACCAACGACAGCCTTACCTCGGAGCTCGCACGCGAGCTGGAAAACGGCCGCTTGGTGCGCCTCCTCTGCAAGCTCAACGCCATTACCGAGCGCGGCGAGCACGCTGGCGACTCTGCTTGGTCCGAACACGGAGAGCGGTACCCGCTGAAGCTCTTCCGCGACTACGTCTTCCACCAGGTCGACGAGGCTGGTCGGCCAGTGCTCGAGCTGGGGCACATGATTCGGTGTATGAACAAGCTCGATGCCGCTGCAGACGATCGGATCACTCTCGTCAGTCGCGATGAGCAGACTGTGTTTGTGGTCAGTTACAAGGACCTCAAGGTTATGGTTGACCGGGCCTTCAACGAGCTGGTCAAGCGTACCAAGCAAGCGCAGACGAGTCCTGCTGCTGTCACTATGGTACCGGGGCTCTAGGGGGTGGCTGGCCGAGACGGCTCTGGTGTTGAGCAGGATAAATGGGTTGCGCTCACTGGGAGCCTGAAGCGGGAAAGGCTGCCTGCCTCAGAACAGTAGGTCGATCGACGAGGCCGGATTGCCGAATGGGTGGACGGTGTGTCTGGCTATCCCGCAGTGGTCGGTCTATCGCCTACTACGTGTTGGAAGCTTGCGCAGGCCGGTGGTCTCGCGAGAATGGTATGATGGTTATGGGTATCGGGGGGTTTGACATTGCTTTATCGAGCATCTTTGGCGCGCTCACTCTGGAGTTTACTTCTTGTTGGCGGCAAGCACAACGAGCTTTCCCTCTTTACCATACACTCTGGCGGTCTGCGATTCTTGGCAATTATGGTATATTGTCACCTTGTCTTGGACTCCTGACGAGGACCGATCTCTTGGCTGCGGTTGCACCACTGGTGGTGTCAAGCTATGGGCTTAGGCTTGTGGACAGGGATAGAGCCGCTTTCGATAGTTTTTGATGCCTCCTCAAGCGAAGGATAACTGGTATTGGTGGGGCAGGACTATGGTTGAACACTTACGAAGGTTGAGGCAGCACTAGGGATGGAGACGACGTTTATGCGAACAGGTGCTTTCCGATGCGACGCTGGCTTGGCAGTTAATTCTCTGGACCTCATACATCTGGCGTAACTCAGTCAGGCCATCGGCGCTGAGTTAGTCAAGGAGCACATAGCAGATCAAACGAATAGAATCATTTCATTAACTTGACTTGTAAGCCAACCGATGGGTGTCCTTCCGTGTTGTCACCTATTATCAACGTGTGAAGCACAAATAGTGTAGCTGCTAATCTCATCGTGCTACTGATTTTCCGTCTCCGTGCCGATAGTACCCACATTCATATTGTGCTATAGGCCGCCCCATTTCAACAACCTCCGGTCCGATGGTGTAGTTGGTTATCACGTATGCCTCACATGGGAACGCATAAGGTCGCCGGTTCGAGCCCGGCTCGGATCATTTCTTTTGCGATCTCTCCTTGGGGAGATGCGCAACTTGCATTTTGCCAGGTCAATACTTCACGTGGAAATTCGATGGTGAATTGCAGGGGGAGCGAGCGTTATTAACCTTTTCTTCCTCCCGCCACATTAAAAGTGCGAGGTCTGGAGGAGAAAAAAAATGCTTGGTCATGTTGATGTTGAAGAACTTTGGCGTGCTTCCAGATGTGATGCTCTCCACCAAGCGGCTGCAGAGAGGCTAAGCATATACAGCACAGTGTCATACACGCCGTACTATTTCATGGCTATTTTATTGTTGCACGTCCAATAAACATTGCCATCACCATTATCAGGCCAAAAAGACAAGCATAACTCATGAACATAAGTGCGCAAAATGGTCCAGATCTTTTGATACTGCTTTCCTGCTTAACGACAACGCAGTCGATACTCTGCAGGGAGCCACAATCCTCCTTATATGATGAGGGTCTTATCGTAGTCTTTTCCTGATGCCATCCGACCGTCCAGTGTTCAAACACCACGCCGTTATGCGCCAGAGCTCCAATGGCTGTTCCGAAGAGACGCTAGAACCCCATGGGACGCCTGCCGGGCCAGCACTGTGGCCAGCTGTCCATCTATTGCATTCCATGTCGATGACATGCTTTTGATCTCTCCATCTGCCCGATCAATCGTCTGACTTGACAGCGAAGGGATTCTCGATAACCTCACTGCCATCCACAGGGCTAATGACCACCAGTAGCGTGCCCCGGACAACTACCAGTCCTAGTGGCCTTGTCACTTCGTTGCCCTCGTCATCTAACGTAGTGCATGTTAGCGATGGTCTCGCACCTCCTCAAAACACCTCCTTGTGATGATAGAAGGGCACGAACCTCTCATAACCTCCTCGACATCATCCAGCACAAGGTTCATAAGCGCATCGTACCCCTTCAGGGTGCCAGAGCACTCCCTCCCGCCGTTGAACTTGACGTTGACCTTCTTGTCCATGTATTTGCTCAGGTCGAGGATATTCTCCTTGCGCGGCCGCTCCGCCTTGTCGCCGTCGCCTCCGCCCTGGTGCCGGTCTCCTCCGTGACCGCCACGATGCTCTCGGTTACCGCCGCCGCCGCGGCCACCACCTCGATGTCCTCCTCCTCCTCTGTGGCCTCCGCCGCCGCCCCGCCCGCCGCGGGGATGTGATTGCCTGTCTGCCATTGTGTGTTTGTTGGAACTGTGGAGTGGTGAATACCTTGTCGAAACGCGCTCAAGGTAAGACCTGTCCTTGGCTGGATTTGTTGGTCGGCAGGATCGCTCTCGCCTCCGATGTCCGGAGGCTCGTGGTTTGCTTGATGTTCTTGCTGTATGCAACTTCAATCCTCAAGGCCTAGGTTCGTCGTGGTGCTAGGTAGTTACCCGTGCGGTCAGCGACGTGTCTTTTTTGTGATCTGCTCTTGCGTATACACCCTCAGATTGGAGCATAATAATGCACTTACGACGGCTGTTTTCGTCCAACTACTTGACGACGGTGTGCTTTGAAGACGCTTTGCTGCTTGGTAGTGGGGTTGAAGGGATAGGTACGGTTACGTTCACGCTGGGGTCAACCTGACTTTTGTCCCACATGCTGGCCAGAGCTCCGTTTACTTAGCGCCATGCACGGGCCAGCTGGTGGAACAGTCGAGTAAGGTAGTGAAGTACTGTGGTAACACCACAGTAAGCCATACCTAATTCAGACCTCATCTGCTTCAGCCAGAACCCAGCAATGGTAGTCGTACAGGAGAATCCGTTAATTATTTACAAAAGAACGGGCGGACATGAGTCTAGGTAGTCCATCTTCTGTTGAAAATATGGCTTGTCAGCCATGAAGCCTTCGCCTCTGTGTAGTGTAAAGGTTGCAAGGTGCATATACAGAGCACTTGGAGCTCGATGTCTATCGAATGGTTGGGACCAATGGCTTGATTCCATATGCAATCGAGCCTCGTCCGATTAGATTCTACGACCATGTTGAGTTATGAGAAGATGTTGAATTCACCAAAGCGACATTCTGTGTTTGCTAATCACGTACAAATTGTTTGGCCAAGCAATTGATATGATAGCCTTGCCTGCTATTTGCCCGGCGGTCGTCCCAAGACTCTGGGAATGAGCTTGGCAAATGCCCATCAGTAATCGAGTTTTTTGTGGTTTTACCTTTGCCTACTGTAACACGTTCAATTCCGGCACAACATCGCCCAATGTTACTATCGTCGCCTGTCCCATATTTCTCTTTTATTGCAGGCTTGTGTTGTATGACATAACGCTCTTTCGGACTCAACTCATGACCAAGTCGGCGTCACTTTGCTTCCAGGCATGGCAGATCGATTGCTATAACACGAACTGGTCGACAGCCAGTCTGGAAATCCAATATTAGCACCCTTCATCCTGTCTCAAACTGATTTTTCGACAATGGCTGATCACCCTGCTGCTGCTGCCGAAGGTTCGAAGAGAAAGAGAGGCGCAGATGATGGCAACTCCCAACTTCGTCGGTCTTGGATACTGCCACTGCCCAAGTCCGGTAAGATATAAACCTCACTTTGCCGCCTTTGCGCTTTGGACTCGTGCTGACACCGCGAAAAGCAAGCGAGCCATCGATTCAATACCTCCTTGATAGCAGTCTTCCCAGGCTCGAACTTTTGCCAGGTGACTGTCCCGAGTTGACGGACATCATCAGGACCATTGATGCTTATGAGAGTATGTAGCCTCAGTGTCATCTATATCCTTGTCTCCTTGCTTACAGAGTCTTTTGCAGATGTGCTTGGGCACCATGAGTCTTTGGCTGCTCGTCTTGGCGCCCAACTGACTTCCCCTAAGCTCGTAAAAGCTCTAGAAAGTCTCTTTGAAGGCGCGATCGCCACGGTGGATCAGTTCTCAAACGGCAGACCACAACCCTCGTGGATGGAGGTCATAGCCTTTGCAAAGGCTAACCCCGACATATTTGTGCTCACCCGAGCTGCAGATGGTACCCGTTGCTGCCGGTTTACCATCAGGCACTTTCTTTGCACTATTGGCGAAAATGACTGGCGACTGATCGTCTCCGGTGCTGTTGATCGCTTTGGTCTTGTCCCTATCCAGGGCACACCCGAGGATGAAGCGGCGGAACTAGCAACAGTGGAGATTCTCGACGAGCGACTGCAGACTCTCATCTTGAACGCCGACAAGCTTGCCGAGAAAGCCCGCCAGCTGAAGTACAGACTCGGCGGACGAAAGGCAGGCATAGAGTCTAGGCGGCCGAGCACCCGCCATGCGGAAGGATCTGCAACCATAACGCAGGCTCTACATCCCGGCTACAATCTGAAAGAGGACCTTCTCTGTCAGTTAACTACAATCCCACAGAGTACTCTCCCCACGCTTTCAGCATCGCAATCGCCGCAAGTCTCGGAAAATCACGATGACTCGCCTTCACCTCACTTTGTCCATGAACTCATGTATTCTCGGGTGGAGAATTTGCCGAAGGGAGGGCTTGTCTTCCCGCGGTGTGATTTATGTCGGAAGCGGAACAAGGATTGCATCAAGAACGCGACTGCGTGCGAGGCTTGCACAAAGAAACACGCTAAATGCACATGGCACAACCTCACTGTAGACGAAGCATCAGGTCTCATGGACGGTGTCAACGACGTACGCGTTACCGGGGCGGCAGGGCCAGTAAGCCAGGATTCAACATCCGGGTCCACGCATGGACGCGGAACAGCAGCTACGCCCTAGAGTATAGCCCCGGTTCAGGCAGCAAGACAAGTTCAAGGGGGGGAGAGTAATGAAGGGGGGAGAGTAATGAGGGGGGGAGAGTAATGAGGGGGGGAGAGTGATGAGATGGGGGGGGGGAGAGGAGAGTAATGAGGGACGTCCTTCAGCAAACCCTGATCTCGAACAAGCCAATGAACAGGCTCAAGAAGTCACAAGCTTGGAGAAGATGGAGCATCGCCTGTCCTTGAGCAGTGCTGTGTATGTCTATCACCGCTGGGTAAGAAAAGAGTGACCAGCCAGCAGAGGTACAATGCCTATCATGTGCGTATACGACGATCGATAGTGCCAATAAAACACACGGAAAGACACACAAAGGAAAACTATGTCTTTCTCTGAAAGGGTTTGGGAATGTGACCAGTTCTCTGTCCTGGTACCAACCACTCCTGCGACTACCTTAGAGTGACCAGTGGCTTCGCAAGTTCATTTCTGTCACAACATGCAATCGTCGACATACTGCTGATAATCTGTATATGTATAATCAGGTAGTGTTCGCCTTTAGCAGCTGGATTCTCGAACCCTCAGACCTGTACAGCGGAACTAGCCTCTGCTTTCGACCGGCACAGGAGATCCCTTTCAATTTTAAGAAAGGTGTTCTATCATTTTGACCATTTTTGAGCTGTCCCTCAAGCTGTACTTCGTCATGTGTAATCCTGCTTTGGCTACTTCCAAGTGTACGATGCTAAGGTGTCGCCGGGTGCAGATTCGACAGCAACTACAAACACAAATACATGGAAAGCACCAGCGAATTCTTGACAGCTTGGCTGACTGTGTAGCCTGTTTCGTTGAGTGAATAAGTACTTTACCGAGACGTCAATGATTTCCTAGGTAGTAGGTACCCAGCCGTGACGGCCCTCACCATATCCTTCCACATCCCATCCCCCTTACTCAGTAGATGTTCAAGGGAAGGAACAAGAACAGACTTTTGCAGGTAGGTCGGCCGTACGGTGACGTGATATACTCGTCTGCAACGTGCCTTCACAGGCTTCGCTCCTGCCTCCTTCACCGACTCAGCATAAGGTAGGTTACCTCAAGTACAGAGCAGCTCATCTCCAAGCCTGTCAACCGCGTCCACGGCAGCCGAGCAAGGTGACCAGACAAGTGGCGTCATATGACGTCCCATACAGTCTACCGCGACTTCCTCTGTTGTCGTAATTTCTTCTTTGGGATCCATGATGCCTGGGAGACTCACCTTGTGAGTGCCCACTCCTCCTCCCAAACCACCACCACCACCTACCACAGGAGACGTTTCGCTTA